CGTTTATTGGAAAAGAAGAATAAATGAGCCTGGTTTTGTACTTTGTATATCATGTGGAGGGAGGTGGGGAGAGGGCATTGTGAGAGTGAGTTCGAAAAGTATTTTCACATAAAACATATTATCGTAAAAATGGGAAACTAGATATCTGTGGCTGTATCAGATAATGACTAGTCACCACATAATGTCAGTTAAGTTTGAAAACATGATGTATAAAATACAAAACCGGTCTCATTTATTCGGCTTTTCCAACAAACAAGTCTTCGCGGTAATGTCGTTTTTTGTGTTCGCGGTAATGTCGTTTTTTGTATTCGCGGTAATGTCGTTTTTTGTATTCGCGGTAATGTCGCTGTATCAAAATAAGATCCAAACAAACGTTTCACTTTGCTTGGTTCGAAAGCTCTGGACGTTTCCCCTGAAGCCCTGGGACTTCTTGGGAAATCGTTTCACAAGTTTGTTCAAAAAAACGCTTCTGTCTATGCAAATATAGCATAAACTGTCTTCTTTCAACTGGCGAATACCGCAGGCATCTATCCTACCATCTTTGCGTTATCCAGAAAATAATAGTCTGCCTTATATTTTGGCGCCGATAACAGTAACTCTCGTGCTCATCGTCAGCTCACAGCTACAGAAATAAGAAAGAAAAAATTAATTTAAGGCTCTTCTTATAAATTCTATAACTTTGCAAAGAAAGGTCGTGTAGAGCTGGGAGATATCTCATTTTAATCAGAATTTGCGCACTATAATTCTGTCTCATTAAGAGAGGTTTTGGTTATTTTGGGGGTTTCTAAAAAACTGGTCCTCCAGAAGACCGAATCTTCGAAGGGCTATGGGAACTCCCATAGTCATATTTGGAATCAGCATGATCGATAACCTATAACCCACTAGATTTTGATCAAAAAGCGATTTATCACCTCGTGAGGCTCCCTCGTAAGCGGTACCTTTTCCAAACCGTTCAATTGTCCTTATATTTATGTCATTCTTATACGACAATTTTTAATGAAAAATAGACAATTATCAACAAAAATCAGTGAGAAGATAAAAAATACATTTCCTCATGCTCTTTCATCACATAGTTTTTCGTATCATGTGTGTTGTATCAACTTAAATTTCATTAAGAAATCGATCGGTTTGCGTAGTAACCGGGTTTTGCACCTTATAACTGTTTTTCTGCAAATAAACAACAGCATACATTTCCTCATCCAAAACTTGAAAAGAGTTTCACCAATTTCTTTACTACCATGTCGCATCGCGACCGGGATTCTTCAAACGGTCGCCGGTTTAAAAAGATTTAAAAATAAATAGTTTCATTTCTTGCAATTTTTCTTCTTGGATTTTTTATTCAGAAAACTATGGAAGTTTGGTGAATTTTTTGTGCTCATTCGACTGATATAGATCGAAACGTTTGTATAAAGACTATATGCAGAAATGATTACAGTAAACTGACAGTCACTTTTCAAGAAAAACTCTTCACTTCATCTTTAAAGTGGCTAGAAGTCGAAAGAAAATTTTTTCTAAGGTTAAAAACCTAAACTTGTATAAAAATCTGTTCGGGATCAGGCATGCATCGACTAATAATCGATGTTAGGGCATTCAGCAAAGTCGTTCCGCATCAGTTATAAAAAAGCACTTAGAGCTGCCGAAGATTCCATTTTGTAGAAAAATATTTGCTCTACCAAACTGAAATGCTAGAAAAATGTTAAGGTTATGTAAAGAGAAAATATGATAAATCGAAAACGCACTAAAATCGCTGAAAATTAATCGATAGTCGATTAGTTTTTCGCAATTTTGCTCAGTTTTGAATGCTTATATTGCTTTTTTATAACTGATGCGGAACGACTTTGCTGAATGCCCTAACATCGATTATTAGTCGGTACATGCCTAATCCCGAACAGATTTTTATATCTCAGTTGGGATATATATCCCGATTGGGATATGCTTCCTCACATTTTTATTAATATAAATGATATTGAGCTTAAAAGTAGGAATCCAGTGTATTGTGGAATCCAATATTACCCGATATTATTGGTCCCAATATATTGGGTATACAATAATAATATTGAAATCCAATATAATTGGATACTCTACAGTATTGTACAATATCCTCATAATGATTGGTATTGGTGCATGTCTACTACTAGTACTAGTTGTGACGTGTAACTGGAAATGGTCAAACATCTTATGTATAATACTACTCGCTTCTAGTATAATTGTGTGTACAAAAACCATGAGCAGTTAAAAAGAGGAGGATAGATTAAAAGCGTTTACTTTTCTCAACGCACATTATTCTATGTATTATGCATCGTATTCTATTTATTGAAAATAAAGGTATGATTATTTCTCCCTTTGTCATCTGTACTTGTATCATCGAGGCAAAAAAAAGAAATACTTCTTACTCTAAATCATACTTTATGTAATCGATCTGTCATTCAAATTTTAATGTGCAGTAGTAACAAACCAGTGAGAATATTTTAGCTTCGTCATGGACATAAAATGTTTTTCTGACAGAAAAGGGTATCAATGTTCCATTTTAGTGCCGAAAAAACTATTGTCTTCACATAGATAACTATTTTCTTCACAATTTCCACACGTTTGTCCGTCAACTGCGCAGTATTTCAAAGAGGGATTTCCAAACTACGCCTCTAGCGCCTTTTTTGAGACGGAGTTTAATCGTACGCCACCAAACAGTATCCTACACAACAGTTAGTATTTCTGCAGGCAAAATGAGAACGATCGAAATAGACAGGATATGAAATAGGGCCGTATATTGTCGAATCTGCTGTTTTGTAAAGTCCTCTTCAGTTAACTAAAACAAGAGAAACGCATATTTTTGAAAAAGAAATAATGACTTATTATTCCTTCCTCTGTTGACAAAAACGGAGCAAAGATGTAGAAATTGTGAATATTTTCGGCACTAAATGAGAGAGAGAGAGAGAATGAATCCTATCCCTTTGTTTCAATACCTGAATACAATGCATAATGCATAGCACGTTGTACGTTGAGAAAAGTGAACGCTTTAGTCTGTCCTTCACCTTTAGCTTTTAGACGATTATTCATTTATACGCTGACCGAATTAGAATGAAATTTCATTCATTCATCCCCATTAATACATAAAAACGAACTTTCTTCATGGTGGTTACAACTTCAGTCACCAGCCGTAAACCATGTGGTTTTGATGTAGCTAAATCATCCTGGAAACGATGGCCAGCATTATTATTGTGGTGGTGGATTTATCCGATATTAAAACTTGGCAATAAACGTCAATTAACAGATAATGATCTATTGGAACTCTCGCCAGATGATAACTGTCTTCAACTACTGAATTTTTTCGAATCTGAACGTGTGAAACGTATAAATANGGTGGTTACAACTTCAGTCACCAGCCGTAAACCATGTGGTTTTGATGTAGCTAAATCATCCTGGAAACGATGGCCAGCATTATTATTGTGGTGGTGGATTTATCCGATATTAAAACTTGGCAATAAACGTCAATTAACAGATAATGATCTATTGGAACTCTCGCCAGATGATAACTGTCTTCAACTACTGAATTTTTTCGAATCTGAACGTGTGAAACGTATAAATAACGGTACTTTAAAACTAATTTTCTTTACATTTTGGCGAGAGATGCTAGTTAGTGGCCTGTTCTTAATCCCGTATTCTGCCGCCAAAATTGCACAGCCACTACTCCTACGTCAAATTATACTCATCATTACTAATCCACACGAACTATCATACAAGGGTTATTTGTATGCTGTTGTGCTTGGTATAGCGTCCGTGACTCAGGCGTTGGTACATCAACAGTTTTTTTTTCGTACCTCCAGAGTAGGTATGCATGTGCGAAATGTCATTTCATCTTCTATATATAAACGAGTATTAACATTGAGAACAAGCTCATTTATGAAAACAACAGCGGGTCAAGTTATTAATTTGGTGGGGAATGATGCAAGTAAATGTGACGAGTTGTGTATCTTTGGTCATTATCTATGGAATGCACCTCTCGAAGCGTTGATTGTATTTGGGCTAATCTGGAATCAAATTGGTATACCCACTCTGTTCGCTTATGCTATTTTGATATTGCTAATACCACTTCAAGTGATATTCAGTCGAAAATTTGCTAGCTTTCGTTCAAATACTGCGCAGTGGACGGACAAACGTGTGAAGGTTGTTAATGAGATAGTGACTGGCTGTCAAATTGTCAAAATGTATGGCTGGGAAAAACCATTAGAAGACGTTGTGCATAATACTCGGGAAACTGAGTTTAAGAGTATTCGACGAGCATCGCGTATTCGAGCGTGTAATTTGGGTATTTCTTTTGCTTCACTACCCATCATTTCTCTGGCTACATTCGGCAGTATGTGGTTAATGGGTCGTCAATTAACCGGCGCACAAGTATTCACAACACTGGCATTTTTTTCAATGCTTCGAACTCCGTTGACAAGTTTCCTCCCGCTCAGTCTTGAAAAATTTAGTGAAGCTATAATTTCAGCTAAACGAATAGATAATTTTATGAATTTGTCGAAAGACGCTGTTAATGAAAAAGACACAGATAGTACACATGGCAAGGATGCATTGCCAGGTACTGTACTAATGAACAAGGCATCCTTTTGTTGGGAACAGTCATGCTTATTGAAAGATATTGATTTACAAGTCAAACATGGCTCGCTCGTTGGTGTCATAGGATCAATTGGCTCTTGTAAATCGTCATTGTTAATGGCTATCCTCGGTGAGATGAAACTGGTATCAGGAACAAGCTGTTGTAATGGAACTTTTGCGTACGCCTCTCAAACGCCTTGGATTTTTGCCGACACTATAAGAGAGAATATTCTATTTGGTAAGCCACTAAATCCTGAGCGATATGCGCAAGTAATACAGATCTGTTGTTTAATACCTGATATCGATTCAATGACAGCTGGTGATCTAACTGTCATCGGTGAGAAGGGTGTGAATTTAAGGTTAGTAATTATCTGTTAAATGACTGTTGATAAGCATGTGCCACGTATCTCTTTTAAGTGGTGGTCAAAAGGCACGAATTTCCTTAGCAAGAGCCGTATATGATGAAGCTGATATTTATTTATTTGATGATCCACTTGCAGCGGTCGACTCGACAGTCGCTCAATCTATATTTGAAGATTGTATTGGTCCTGATGGATTTTTGAAGACAAAATCGCGAATATTAGTTACACATCAAATAGAATATTTGCCAAAAGCTGATCACTGTGTACTTCTACATCATGGTAGAGTTGAAGGTCAAGGTCATTTCAATGACTTGTTGGCATCAGCTGAAGAAGTAAAACTCTTGTATGATCTCAGAAGAATTCAATTTGATAGAGCAGCACAGAAAAGAAAGCATGTGGACACTGTGGAAGAGAGAGCTGCAACAGAGTCAGTTGCGAAACCGGATGAACATGGTATTGTAAAAGAAGAAGTGTCAGCCGGAGGTAACATTAGTGCTGGTGTGTGGATAAAATTATTTACAGCAAATCACGGATGGATTGGATTTGTACCACTCGTAATTGTGATGTTCCTGGGCGAAGCACTGTATGATGCAACTAATCGATGGCTTAGCATAGATATCTTCCACGTATCATGTAATCACTTTTTTGCATTGCTTGCCTATCGAGCAATTAGCGTACATCTTTACTTAGATAACGATTTTTTTTGAAAAATGACAGCGGTTTCTGTCTTTGCTAATGTTTCAGTGGTAATTCTTCTTTTCTGAATTATTTTTGTAAATTGAGTCCAGTATACTGGACTCAATTTGAACTCTCACAGGTCGCATATATGGGACTTGTGAGAGTTAATCGTTCTTTTCCAGCTTCGAATTTATGAAATAGGGATATGCGGAGCGGTTCATTTTTGCCTCTGACCTATAGAAATGTTCATGGTCAAGCTCTGTCCTGGAAAAATTGGACTCACTTACATTACTTTTCGTTAGCAAGAAGTACTATGCCCTAATAAACGTTGGAGAAAAACTTATTGTTCTAGAAAGAGTCCTGTGCTCTATCCTGAACGTTAGAACAAACTCAACCTGCACATCTCTGTTATGTAATTCTTGATCTGCACTACCTGGTGCTGAAAGAACCTATCGTTGTTCCGTCGATGCTAGCAGTTCTAAAAATCTTTATAAAATCTAATCAGCTGAATTACAGTTTTCTTTTCTAATAAGATGTCTGTCGTATCTGCTATGTCGATTTACCTCCTGTTCCAACTCAGATATTTGAGGCAATATCTAAAATAGGTGTTTTTCTTCTTTTCCTTTGAATACAGAATTGTAGAGTAATAAAATATTTCCAATTTGCGATACTGCCTGCAGTACGTTGGTAAAATTCACAGACCAACTGGTGAATTTTGTCCGCTGTACACGAAGTCCCATACGACATTGATCTATGTAATACGTGGCTGGTGCTCTATGGGCATCAAAATCTTTTGCACATCAGCGTGACCATCACTACCCGATAGTATTTCTCAGTCTCGTAGTTGCCACATTAGTGATAGCCCTCTTTCGTGCTGATTATTTCTATTTCGTGTTATTACGCGGCGCATCAGTTCTCCATAATGAAATGTTAAGAGGTGTATTATACACTTCACTAAGGTTTCATGAAAGTAACCCAGTTGGTCGCATTCTCAACAGATTTAGCAAAGATCAACAAGTTATTGATGAACAATTGCCTCAGACATTTGTTGACTCTAGCCAGAGTTTGATTATGACTCTAGGTACTATCGTTATTATCGGAATCGTTAATCCGTGGGTATTGTTCATTTTGATTCCGCTCATACCCTCGTTTATCTGGCTCAGACGGTTCTTTTTGAGATCAAGTAGACAAACTAAACGTTTGGACAGTGTCACGAGAAGTCCTATATATGCTCTATTTTCGTCATCACTTAGTGGACTGGTAACAATACGTGCGTTTAAAGCTGAAGACAATTTTATTAATTCGTTTGTCGAAAAAATTGATGCAAATACGAGAGCTTGGTTCGTATTGAGTGCAGGTGTAAGATGGTTTGGAGTGAGACTGGATTTAATGACAAGTGCACTATCAACTTTGATGGCAATACTCTCGGTTGCTCTTCGTCATCATATTAATGCCTCTTCAGCAGCGTTAGGCTTATTGTACTGTATTAATATGTCGTCAATGTTTCAATGGGCGGTAAGGCAATCGGCCGAAACGGAAAACAACATGACAAGTGCTGAGAGAATANGGTTCGTATTGAGTGCAGGTGTAAGATGGTTTGGAGTGAGACTGGATTTAATGACAAGTGCACTATCAACTTTGATGGCAATACTCTCGGTTGCTCTTCGTCATCATATTAATGCCTCTTCAGCAGCGTTAGGCTTATTGTACTGTATTAATATGTCGTCAATGTTTCAATGGGCGGTAAGGCAATCGGCCGAAACGGAAAACAACATGACAAGTGCTGAGAGAATAACTAGATGTTTACGTATTACGTCATTATCCGTCAAAGGATGGCTATAATAAAAGCTTTTTTTTGATACTATTGGATGCGGTGGTTTAAATCAAATAAATGCAAATCTATTGGAGTAGAGCCTTAACATGTCCGAAAAGAAGACTTTTCTGGCCCTGTTCAGTCAGAAAATTTCGCTGAACCCGTTCATTGTTCCATCAAGACTTTTTTTCAAAGCAAATCAATAAAAAAACGCCACACCGAACAAAGAAATTTAGAAATTATCGAGTCGAAGTCCACATCGTTTTATCTTTTGTACTCGAGAAATCATTATAGGCAGACAAAGTATTTGCGGGTTTGGGAATTTTATTTTCGATATTTCGTCTATCTAAGTCGATGATATGGAGCATCTTGTAAAGGAAAAATGGAAAAAGTTAAAGTTGTGAGAAAACTCAGTTCATTTTTTAATAACAATTGTGCTAACGCGTGCTGATCAAAACTAGAACTGAGGAAAAATTAGAACTATCTCAACATAAATGCTTGTCATCAACTATGAATAAAAAATATTGTCTACGTATTATTTGAACAGTTTTTATACGAGTATTCTCGTCTGCCGCCCGAACCTGATTTCTACAATGAAAAACAGAAACCTCCTCTTGAATGGCCAACGAAAGGAAAAATCGAATTTAAAAACTATAAATTTCGTTATCGTGCTGAGCTTGAACCGGTATTGAAAGGCATCAATCTTAGTATTGAATCGTGTGATAAAGTGGGTATTTGTGGGAGAACAGGGGCTGGAAAATCCTCTATTTTTCAAGCTCTTTTTCGACTAGTAGAAAAATCATCAACAGAAGGTCAAATATGTATTGACGATATTGATATTAATACAATCGGTCTAAGTGATCTACGTGCTCACTTGAATATTATTCCACAGTCGCCCGTTCTATTCAGTAATACTCTAAGGTATAATCTTGATCCATTTAGCAAACACTCTGACGAAGAGTTGTGGACAGCGCTGGCAATGGTTCAGTTGAAGGATACAATATCAAAAATAACTGATGGACTAAGCACACAAGTGGCTGAATACGGAAGTAATTTTAGTGTGGGTGAATGTCAATTGATATGCGTAGCTCGAGCTCTGTTGAAACCAAGCAAAATTTTGTTGATCGACGAAGCAACAGCTAATGTTGACATGAATACGGATAAATTAATTCAACAAGTTATTCGGGAGAAATTCAGTACACAAACGGTACTGACAATTGCACATCGCCTAGATACGATTCAAGATAGTGATAAAATAGTGTTGATTAATGACGGTTTGGTTAAAGCATATGGGAAACCAAAAGATGTTTTGTTTGATACAAAACTGAATGATATTGGTTTAGACGATGCTGATGAAAAAGAGAAAGGTACGTTGTGAAAAGATCTATAAAACAATGACTACTGGAGCTATTTTATTTAGATTTTACTTGGGTGTGAGGATTGATTTTATGAAGGAGCAATAACAACAAATGATCATTGGTCAAAGGTATGATTCATGTAATGAACATAAAGTCTATTTGATTATTTAATAATAGACTTTTACTATGAGTGTTATTTTACTGATCGTATTTTGTACATGTTACTATTAAAGGAATGAAACTAATAAAATATCTATGAGATTCAATAGAAAAGGATCTATCATAGTAATCTAGCCATGTCTAATTAAGGAAACTAATGATTAAAAATAAATTAACAGTAACAAAAATTAGAATTTCAATATAACCGGCTTCCTTGAGACGAGAATCTTTTTGTTTTGCCGGACGTGTTAAAACGCGAAAAGCTTTGACGCATCTGGAAAATTTTAATTGAAATAGCGCGGTAAGACGTATTTCGTTTATTAAAATTTATTACTCGCGTTCCTTCGTGCTGCCTTTGGACGCCTCATCGTGTACAGAAGCCATTCCAGAACAAATCAGGACTTATCTGCGCTCTCTACAACACTGTTTCATCAAACAGCATTCAATTTGAGAAAGGCCCCATGTCACCAAAATTACCGAAATTAATCAGAAAGCACGAAAAATATGTCTTTCATATTTTTACACATAAGCTTAACAAACTTACGATTTGAAAGAATGTGTTATAGCTCATTCGGTAGCCTTTTCAATTCTGCATTTTTTCTATATACAAACTATGCCTAACCTCTGTCTATAGAAGAAACTATAATAATTTTTATGTGCCACACTATAGGAAGAAAAACAAGATATCTGTCAAGTATTTGTCCGATGCATCTACGAAGGCAACCTTTTAAAACAGTTTGTTACTGCTCATTTTGTAGCCTTTTCCATTTTACTTTTTCTGCGTATAAACCATTCCGGGTTTGAGTGCGCTGACAAAAACTATATACATTTTATTATATTCAATGAGGGTTACGTACATGGGAGCAAATAGTCATAGATAATGTTCGATCAATAACCCTACGAAGACATTAGTTTGAAAAGATGTTCCATTTTAAAGCCCGTGTAGTTGCACATATTTTCATATATAAGCTTCTCTTAAAGGTACCTCTTCCGTCTTTTTGGACTTTCCGTAGAAATGCTGTGAAATAAAAACTAAAGGTCGCTAGGATTTTGTATTTTTAGAACTGATTGGAAACTCAATGATGCACTTTTTCATTTTAGAAACCCTATAAGTCGGTAAAGAAAAGTCTACAATAAAATTCCAAAAAATTACATCTGCAATAGTGTCTTGACTACCGCTGATAAAATTTTGAACTCGATCGGATGAAATTTAAGGGGGTCGTAATGTCGTACAATGAAGCCTGCTAGCAAAAACATAGTTTTCGAGAAAACGCATTTTGTACATAGGTCACTTTTTTCGGAGCATTTGCCGTTATGCTTATATCTCCGCGAAAACTCATCGGAAAATTCTGTAAAACGTCTCATTGTAAAGAAAACACTTAAGAAAAATTTTAAATGTACAGAAAATGAGAGAAAAGTTTATGAAACTAAAAATTTGAGTCTTTTTAGATGTTGAAGGAAAAACTTCAAAATCCATAACTTTTTGGAAAAAGGTCGTGAAGTACTGGGAGTAGTCTTATTTTGTAGCCCAAACTTTCCTCCACATTAGGCTATGCTCGGCTCAAAATCCGAAATTTTTACAAAAAAACAGGGGGTACCCTTAAGAACATCGAACTCGCGGTGAAAAATTAATATCGAATAAGGTCGAATAAACATTTTGGACCGATGCTCAGAAATGATTAGAAGTTTCAGCATATGGTAGTCTGCAATCAACTTTTAAGACGCAGAAATTTTAAAAACTAAATTACGAATTGTGCTGATCAGTTCCAGTCGTTATCATCTCAGAAATATATAGGACCATTTTCTTGCAGAAACTGTCTCCCGTTCTTTATCGAAATACTATTTAATACAGAAAAACCATTTTTAACCCAACTACTTCCAAAAACGCGCGGTGTATGCTATTAAAAACTCCACTTTAGATGCAGCTGAAAATTACTGTCAAAATTACGTTGGACTTTCGGCAGTTATCGAAGCTCTTTGTAAATACGACAATGGGAAGAAAATCATATCGATTTTCAACAATTGTCCAAATTGTTGGCGGTTTTGCTCTGCATATCCGACAATACTGCCAAATTCCTTCGGAATCTGAACTGTAGAAATTCCGATGACGAAATTCTAGGATATCAATGAGATTATTTTTATCTAGAATTCAAGAGTCATTGCAGAACACGATCGTTCATACTTCAATATGTATTTTCGCGAGATTAACACAATTCTGAGAAATTTTTGTAAAATGAGTGCAAGCTGTTTCATTATTTTTTACATTGTTTAGAAAAAGTGTCAGATCAAAATGAAATCAAAATCAAGAAGTATATATGTAGAGAGACATATGAATGATCTTCTCATGGTATCATTCGAATGATGAATTGAGAGAAAAACTACAACTGTATTTGTATTAGAAAGTCCCATGAAATATTTTTGATACCCTAACGCAAGTTAGCACGCGTTAAAACAAATAATAATTTAACACATGCGCACAGGTTAAATGGTCTGGAATGCGTGCAAACGTGTTATCTTCTGAACTTGTATGAGACCAGAAATGTCTCGAAATTAATCCTAACTAGTTAAAAACACAATTTCATTATAAAAAATTAAA